ATGTGGTGCTGGGGGATTGAACCGCGGTCCCTGTGCTTTGCTAAGCTTGTTCTAAGTAGGTGCTTTAGACCACTGAGCTATCTCACCAGCCCCCATGTGCTTTGAATTTTATACTTGAGGTGGTTTATCTGTTTTTTCTTTGTGAGTTTATTTTTACTTCTATGTATACATATACATATATTTATATGCACACACACACACATATATATATATATATAGCAGTTATACAGCCTTCTCTTAGTTCAATGAGTTTTGAAGTGTTTAGACAAGATGTCTGCATTTTGTAGTATGAATACTACGAAGACAATATGCAATGTATTAATTATTGTAACTGTCCTACTAACCTGTTTTAAACTCAATGCTATTCCTGTCTCAATAAAAAAATATATACTTTAATATTAAATTTTCATTTTAACATAGTGATTTGGTGGTCCATGGGTCTAATTTAGCCAAAGACATTTTTCTACTTCCACCACCATAATAAAGAAATGCTAGGAGTCTGTAATAGACTTGAGCAGACAGATGCTTGCTAACATTTAATTTTAAAAGTATCAAAGTGTATTATGTCATAATAGCAGTTAGGAATAACTTTTATTAATGTACGTATCAGACAATTCACTGAATATGAAAGCTCAAATTTTTATTTTTTTTTTCAAATAATTTTTAAAAACTGCTTTAATGTTGCTACAAAAGTACTTCAGTTCAGTAACAAGCAATAGAAATGTTTATCCTACGACCAGATAGGACATCCTTAGAAAAGTTGGATCTTGAGGCTGTAGGTCTTTCCAGTTCCTTCTGCGGCTACAGTTGTAGGAGATCATTTAATCATACTCCCCTTCAAGAGGAAAGTACAGATAAAAGCAACTTTCCTGGCAAATATCCTTATACTTGTATCCATGTCCATAGGAACTTTAAAATAAAGTTTATGTTGCTTTTGTGTTTATGTTGGTTCTTTGACTTACTCTAGCCTAATTCCCCATCTCTGTGAGTAGTTTATTTCAGTCTCAGTAGGTCACCAGTGCTGCCGAGGCCTCTCTACATGCTCCACGGGCAATTTCATCAACATCTTCCACAGCTGCTGAGTCATCAACCCTGGTCTAGATCACTGTGCTTCACTCTGGTTTTGATTTCCAACCATCTGGAATTTACCTAGCTATACATAATTGCTGTTGCTAAAGAAATTTTAAAGTGAATACATTTTTTTCATTACCACCATGTCCCCCGTTCCCTACTCCTCTAAAAGCTGCCTTCCTACTGTACTATACTTTCTTTGTAACTTGCTCGACTGTCCAGTAATTTGGGCCAAAACCATGAATAGTATTAAGATTCTTTGAGCTCCATTAAAATTGTGTATGTGTGGTTTTCTGAGACAAAGTTTTGCTGTGCAGTTCAAGCTGGTCTTGAATTTACTATGTAGCCCAGGCCGGCCTTGAACTCACCAAATCCTCTTGCCTCAGCCTCCCAAGTGCTGGGATTACAGGCTTGTGCTAGAACACCTGGCCTTCCATTAAACTTTTCCTGCTGTCTTACTGCTGGGTAATGTCAGAACTTATCAGCTGAGTATCTATGGATTTCAAGGTTTAAGAATGTTGTAAGAATAAGCTACTGTTAAAACTGGATTATTTAATCCAGTTTCATCCAACAGTTTTGAGTACCAGCAACTCTGTTACTATGTTAGACTGGTTTGACCTTTGATAAGTAACAGCAGCACAAATCCAAGGATTTTCAAGGTAATTGTAATTATGGAGCAAACCAAAAATCAAACTACAGAAAAGTGTCAAATGGTTGTCTCAGGTTTAATAACAAAAGGTAAAGGGTCACCAATTTGGTCTCTTCTTTCATCACTCACATTCCCAATTCTCAGATCCTTTCTACTCTCATAAGCCTGAATAGTATTTGTAGTTGATTGGGCCAAAAACTGACTTTAAGGAACATCCTTTAAAGATGTTTACAGCTGAAAAAAGAGATACAAAACTTAGCACCTCTTTTCTTTTTTCTTTAAAAAACAAAACAAACAAAAAAACACTAAGAAAAAACTAAAATATAGCTGCCAGGAGAGCAGCTCTTAATCCTTACACATAGCCACAGGAGCCATTTGGACTAAAACAAAACAGCTCGTCACTCATTCCCTCTCCTGCTCTTCTTATGGCTTTTCTTCGACCTGAAATGGAATACATACAAATAATTAAATTAAGAAGCAAGGAAGGTCATTTGAGAAATACTATGATATGTGGACACTTGGCAGCATGGAAATGACACTGAATATACATTAAAAGTGCTTGGTGATTTAGGATTCCTCCCTGCCCCGCCCTCCCTCAGGAACATTATAACTGTAGCATTGAGGAAACCATCTCTTGAGAGCTTAAAGTGCACAGGGATTTCTAATGAAAGATGTCCAAATGAAAATGACTTGACCAAGGTCACTCAACTGTTTTAAAACTTGGTACTTAAAACCCAGGTCAGGATTGGCTGTTTGAGTCAGTGGCAATGTGCTTGCTTAGCAGTTGTGAGGCCCTAGGGTCCAGACCTCAGTACCAAAAAAGAGCCCACAAACAACCCATCAGGTCTTGAGACCACAGCTCATCCATTACCCAAAACTAAAATGCTGCAAAGAAAAAAAAAAGTGCAAAAGAGACTGCTTATAATTCTCAGGATAAAAGGCCAATACTGGTTTAAAATAAAGGAGAATTCCCATTTCCATTACTCTCATCAAAACAAGAAAATTTCAGGCCCAACTCTGTTGTAATTGAGACTCTGATTTCTTTTTCCTGAGATAAGATCTCTCTGTATAATTCAGACTGACTTGAACTCACTATGTAGGAGCAAGCAGGGAGGCTGAGATCAAACTTAAAAGTATGGCGTATGCCACCGTACCCAACAAGATTTTTAAATTCTGACCCAAGATTTATATTCTTAAACAAGGTTAACATTTACCTTTCAGGAGATTTAGAATGGCTCCTATGTCTGTGACTACGGTGATGACCTGCGAAAGAAAACATTACCACATGAGTCAGATCTTACTCTTGCACTGCCATTCACACTTCCCTAAAGCCCCCCCACTGGCTTATTACTTAGGTAGCCTGTGCTGCAAAATCTGTTGTTGGCAGCACTCAAGCAGTGTATGTGTGGCATGGAAAAGAGTAATAAAACCAAATACACTGAGGGCATTACAGCCAACTTCATGGACATCACCCTGTAGGCCTTGTTCCTGTAATTTCAGGTGAAAATGCTAAAGCCCACTGTTATGGCGTCTATCTGGATGTACCCCAAAGCCTCATGAAATCATAGATGGGGCTTTTTCAGAGGTGGCTAAATCTAGAGTGTGTGACTGACTCATGGTGTAATGCTAGGATTAAGGGTGGGTGATTATTAAATCAGTCCACTGATTGGTTTGGCTCTGCCCTAATTGTGGTAGCCTGGGTTAGATAAGAGGGCAGAAAAATACTGCTAAGTGTCCCCTTGTTGCTTTGTTACTTTCTGCCTACCATGAACTGTTTCTCCTGTGAGATGCCACCCTGCCTTGAGCAGCCAATTATGGACTGAAACCTCTACAAAACTGTGAACTAAATAAACCGTTCTGAGCTGGGTACAGTAGTGCACACCTGTAATTCCACCACTTGGGAGGCCAAGGAAAGAGGATCGTTGTGAATTCAGGGCCAACCTTGGCTACAGAGTACGTTCACGGTCAGCCTAAACTGCACAGTGAGGTCCATGTCAAAAAAATACCAAGGGGCTGGGGAGATAGCTCTGTGGAATAAGCACTTGCCTGGCGAGCACAAGGGCCTGAGTTCAATCCCTGGTTCCACAAAAACAAAACAAAAAAACCTTTCCTTCTTTAACTTTTTTTTTTTTTGCTTTAAACAATTTATTTAACTGAAATGGACTTAAGTTTGTTTCTGAAGTGACTTCCATTTATTTTGATACATCTTTTCCCCATGATGATTTACAGGATCTTCAAGCCAATATAAATACTTTATAAATATTTGAATTTTTGGGTATACACCTGCGCAATTCCTCAGCAGTATCTTTCAGCAAGAAAATACTGAAGAGTAAAGGCTAGACACAATTACTGGGTACAGTGAAAATCTGCTGCAAATATTTCTGAGGTAAGAAGGCACCACATACCTGTTCAACTAAGAAAACCACCCTTACAACACAGGATGATTTTATTTTTACATAGGACCTAGAACACTTAAGCTGCCAATTAGGTACTGAATGGCAGAGCAACGTCCCCAGTTTATGCCATGAATTCATAGGGAATGGGTTCCAACAACTCGGGTTCCTTTCCATTGGTCCTCACAAAGTGTGCTTCTCTGGGAGGGGCAGGCTGGCGTTTCAGGTGAACCCAGGTACCTTTCTCTTTGGCTTCCTTCTTTTTCTGATCATTTTCCTTGACACGTTTCAGGAAGCTATCACGACTTTTTGAGTGTTTAATATGCTCGATACGCACATTAATCCTCTTGGCAAGTATCTTGCCCTTAACTTGCTTATTTACAACAATGCCAACAGCATGCTGGGTAACGTTGTAGACTCTTCCCGTTTTGCCATGGTAACATTTGTGAGGCATTCCTTTTTGCACAGTACCCATTCCCTTGATGTCTACAGTATCACCCTTTTTGTAGATTCGCATGTATGTAGCCAAAGGAACAACCCCATGTTTTCTAAAAGGCCTGGAAAACATATACCGGGTTCCCCTCCTCTTGCCCTTTGTGTTAGTCATTTTGGCAAATTACTGGAAGATGGTGGTTCCGGCCGAAAGGAAGCTCCTTCTTTAACTTTGGATGTTGTCTCAGCAACGAGAAAGTAACTACAACACCTACCATATCAATAAAACTCATATGACTCAAGCCCTGGATTGAACTCAGGGCTTTTTCATGGAGTTACTACCTCTCTGGTCATTTTTATTTTGGACAGAGTCTCACTAAATTGCTAAGTTTCCCACGCTGGGCTTTGAACTCCTCAGCCTCCCAGAGTGCTAGGTTATATAGAGGTGTGCGACCATGTCTACCTAACAAGCCTTAATTTTCAAATTTCACATCCATTTCCTTTTCTACCAGGCAACAGAATAGTTAGGTACTTTTATACTGCAGGAGAATAACTACTCCTTAGATTTGTTAAGACAAGCAGTAATAAAATGGCCCAAACGCTATACCTGGGGACTTGGAGCGGGATCTGTGTCGTCGATCTCGGGACCTGCTTCTGTGGCGTCTTGGACTCTTGCTCCGATGTCTCTCTCTGCGAGGTGAAGGACTGTGGAAAAGATCAATCAGCCTGCCAGATCTATTTGGTAACATACACACAGTACCAGCACTCCTTCCCCAACCCCTCTCCAGCAGAAATGGCTGAGGCTTACCTTCTTCTTTTGGGAGATCGACTCCGCCTACAGAGAAAAAAGGAAAAGAGCCGAGGTTAGTGTACAGGCTAACTAATGTACAGGTTAACTAATGTTGCAGGCTACAAAACTGGTCCCAATTTCTTGGGAAGAGGTACTGGGGATGAGCTCTGTGGTTCTGATTCTTATCTATCTCTGTATCCATGTCCTTTGTCATGTAACTATAGCCTTGTCCCTTTTGTATCTCCAGGAATGGCCAAGTCATTTGCTTCAGCCAATGATATATTTGCAAATGTAATATAAGCAGATACTGAAAACTGCTTGTATGACTTATGTATTCTTGAATTGTGCCACTGTCATAAGAACATATTTAATAGTCTCCTGGAGGCTGAGACACAGAGAAGACATTAAACTGCCCCAGCCATCTTTGTGACTGTCAGCTTATTACCAGCCAGGATAAGATCAGGAAACAAAGTTTATACACCAAAATACTACATCTCTTATTCCACCTTAAATCACTGGCCACGCACTTTGGGAAGTAAAGAAATGGTTTTGTTGTCTGCTAGGGGGATTTTGTTTGTAATCGTTTTGCAGCAATATGTAACTAATATAGTAAGCAAACAAACATTCTCCATAGGCTGACATTTTTCTTGCTCTGAAATTCAAACTCCCAGGCTGTAATATTCAAAATCTAAGGAATAGCGCCTTGCCTTCTGGGAGACCGACTCCTACTCCTCCTGTATCGAAGCGTGGGAGAGCGACGGGGCTTGTCCAGGTCTCGGTAGCTTCTTCGCCGATGATCAGGTGATGGCACTCTTTCCAACTGAAAATAAGAGGAATGGGTCAGCGATGGGCATAGGCTTTTAATAGTCATTTAGGGATACTGATTATACTTCTGTCCCCAGCCTGTCCTGAAGCCCATGTCCCAGAAACTGTAATAGTAATGTGATTTCATGGTGGGATAGCCATAAAGACAAAAAGAAGCTGAATTTCCAAAATGAAAGAAAAGCTGGGTGTGGTGGCACATGCTTATAATCCCAGCAATCAGAGGGCCAATGCAGGACTGCCACGAGTTTGAGGCTGGTCTGGGTTACACAGTGAGTTTGAAAGGCTAGCCTGAACTACATAATGAGATCCAGAAATAAAAGATTATTAAGCTTAGATTAAAAAAACATGGCTTATCTAAATCTTTTTTTTTTGGGCAAAGTCTCACTACACAGCTCAGACTTGTAGTGATCCTCCTGTTTTCAGCCTTCCTAGTGCTGGGATTATAGGTGCGCACCACCATGCCCAGACTCCATCTCTGGCTCAGTGTGCCCGGGGGCAGGTCTGGCAAGGCATGCGGTGTGATGCCAAGGATCAAACCCTGGCCCCTGCACTTGCCTAAGCAAACACTTAGTCCGCTGAGCTATCTCACCGGCCCTTATGTGTATCTAAATCTTACTTGAAACTAAATTTCCCTTAGCACTGCCAATAGTAAAGACCTACCAACATCAATCAACCTGGTACTAATGACCACATACAGTGCACAAAAATGGTAGATTCCTTGTCTGAGGCATAAGTATGCCAGATGTCACTGGGATATACATGAGAATGTATAGAAGCTATTAAAGACTTCTACAATTAAATCAAGAAACCTAAGAAATTAAGTAGAAGAAGCCTCCACTAGCCAAAGATGGGACAATCCGAGATTTAACATGGACATTAAAGATTTAAAATACCAGTTCTGCTTAAGTCAAGGCCAGGTATGGTGGCACACACCTGAAATCCCAGCACTCAGGAGGCTGAGGCAGGAGGAGTGCAACAAGTTTGAGGCCAGCCTGGGCTACATAGTTAAATTCAAGGCCAGTGTGAACTGCATAGCAAGACCCTGTCTTTAAAAAAAAAAAAAAAAAAAAAAAAAAAAGTTTGTTTTAGGATAGTCTATAAAGTTACTAGAGGCAAAAGAGCATCACTTTGGGATGATAGTAGAGTTTTTAAGGTTGGCAAATGAAAAGAATCAATTATCTTTCCTATGTAAACTGTACTTCTGCAAAAGTAAATGCTGATCTGGAACACTATTTCTGGTTTTTGAGAGTATCTCACTATGTAGCTCAAACTGATCTTGAACTCACTATGTAGCCCAGGTTAGTCTTAAAATTTCTGGTGAACTTCCTGCCTCAGCTTCAAAAGTTCTGGGATTATAAGCATGAACTACTGGCTTTGGAATGTTTCCTTTTACAGGAATATTTTGGGTGAAAATGATGAAAAAATAAAAGAACTAGAAGAACACATCACCATTTTACAACCTGCTGGAGCTAGTCATTGTTCCTTATGGATTTTAACATTACAAAAAGTGAGACAGAAAGACCTTGCACACCACTGCTATGAAACAGTGTTTTTATACTCCAAAATAACATAAAAATCTCCTAGACAGGCCAGGGGTAGTGATGCACACCTGTAATCCCAGCACTCAGGAGGCTGAGGCAGGAGGACCACTGAGAGTTCAAGGCCAGTCTGAACTACAAAGGGAGACTCTGTTCAAAAAGACATGAACAAAAATCCCCAAATCTGATTAAGCCTGTAGATTTAATAGTTTATAGGAAATACAAGGGATATGTGAATGTTAAACAATTTCATAGGAAGAAAACCAGAAAAAATACAGACTGAAAATCTGTGTAGGATAAATAACCTGCTACAGGGAAGTGCTGGGGCTAGAGTAGCAGGAATCCAGGAACAGAGTTGCCTGAAAACAATGCTGAGACTATAATGACACTTTAAGGAAAAATAGCTTTGCATAACCACCAACACATGAGAGGCATCTAGGACTCAAAGCTGGTCCGTGGTGTCCCTATCTATTTATAGGAACAGAAATAGGCATGTCTTGTATAATGATTTGTCACCCCCAGATTGTACCTGTGGCAATGGTGACATAGATTATAACAGAGCTAAAAGATTGTTAGTGGCCAGTGACATCATAGCTGTATTACAGAGTACTGCAGGTTTATAGTAATGTTGAGGCAAAGAAAAATACTGTCCTGACAGTCATACAAAAGCACCTATAATTAAGTACAAAACATAATACTGTGGGTTTTTTACCATTATTTTAAAATGCACTCCTTTTAATTTTCATTTAAAAAGCTCTATTGTAAAACAGTATGTTGTATTATGCTGGCAGATACCCTGGTTTATTTATAGATCAATGTAATTTTAACCAAAATACTATGTTTCTTTTAAATTTCATAGTAATTTTATTATTTACATAGTATAGCTCTTGCTCTACTAAAAATCCAGCCTTCTTCAGAAGTTATATAATTAGGACAATGTGGCACATGTGTAAAATGGCCAGGATAGGGCTGGTGAGATAGCTCAGTGGTCTAACTGTCTGCTTGGCAAGCACAAGGATCGAGGTTTGATCCCTAGTACTGCATACCGGGCTGGCCACTGAAACTAGGTGTGGTGGTGGAAGCCTATAATCCCAGCACAGGGGAGGCTGCACAGGAGGATCACTATGAGTCTGAGCTGTGTAGTGAAAGCCTGTACCAAATAAATTACAATACAGTACAATATAGTACAGTACAATACAGTACAATGGCTAAGACAGTGACAGTAGAACCAGCCCTACACATATACACAAGGTAGGCAAGTGCAAAAAGAATGGGGTTGTTTTGTTCATGAGGTACTGGATACCAGACTTGGGGCCCTGCCAATGGTAGGCAAGCCCTATGACTGAGCCATACCCTCAGCCCAAGAATGGAGGTTTTATTTAAAAAAAAAAAAAAAAAAAAAGACTTTCAGTTATCCACATCAAGTAAAAGTAATCAGATCTCATTTCACCACTGTTACAGCTTTTATCTAAATGTCTCCCCTAAGTGCCATGCACTCATAGGTGAGCTTTTGAGCCTGCCTGGATCCTGGGTATAATATTGCGATTAGTCCACTGAGTGGGTATGGGTACATTAATTAATAAGCCTGTAGCCTGAATGCAATAAAAAGGGAAAGGAAGGGTCATTTAACACAATGATCCTGAGAGAACATTACTATTTAAAAAAAAAGAAAATTAAGGCTAAGTAATTTTAATAATCATGCGACTAAGGGGCTGGGGACATAGCTATGGGTTCAGCCCCCAGGACTGGGGGGATAAAATGAACATTAAGATTATAATACTAGCAAATGGCAGTAGTAAGATATGAATCAAGGCATATTTAGCTTTAAAGTTCGTATTTGTAACAGGAAATTTTTTTTGAAGAAAATTTTAAAAGTTTGGTGGCTGGTGAGATGGCTCAGTGGTCTAAAGCACCTACTTAGAACAAGCTTAGCGAAAGCACAGGGACCGCGGTTCAATCCCCCAGCACCACATGCCAGCCAGCCTCGCCCCCTGCTGGGCTGAGCTGGCCACACACGTGCGTGCGCGCGCACACACACACACACACACACACACACATAAATAAATAAAAAAAAATTAAAAAAAATTTTTTTTAAAGTTTGGAAACAAAAACAAGGATATGGGGGGGAAGAAAGAAAAAAAAAACAAAACAAAAAAAAAAAAAAAAAAAGGATATTCTTATCCCCCCTCAGCCTCTAAGATTCTTAGGTGCCTCACCTTTTCATCTTCTTCCTCTTCCTCTTCACTAGACTCCACATCATCCATGTCTTCTTCCAGAGCACTAACTCGAGGCTCCAACTGCTCAGCTTCTTCCAGTACATAACGTTTCTACAGAGAACATAATGAAAGTCACAGGTCACTGCCCTCTCCTCTATGTCCTGAGATCCTAATACTGGGCATCTGACTCTGACACAAAAGCCATGGAACAAGTTATAGTGATTTCAATTCAAAGACAATGCATGTTTTCCTAGAGTTTAATATACTTGGAATCTGGATATTCTATTTAAATTTCTGCTATAAATATAAATACAAAGCTGAAAGGAAGATGCTTGTTTTCAGCTGGCTGTATTTCCTACGGTCATACATTATAAGATACACAAAACTCACAAGGGCCAGCAAGTTTATGGCTGTGGCTGAGTTACTTGACAGTTTCAAGAGAAAAGACCCAGGCAGATGGAATGACTTGAGTTGGAAGACCACTCATTATTTTCCTGACACAAGGATATAAAGAATGTTGGCTGGCCTGGCTAGGCGGTCATGGATTGATGAGAATCATGCATATGCTACTTAGCTCTCATTTATCCTTCATTAAGTTCTATAGAAGTTGGAAGAAATGAGTATGTAACAGGACAGGAGTTTGGGATTTAGGACAGTGTCCAACAGGACACAGAAAACACTTATCAGACTCAGGAGAATCTGAAATTGTTACTTTTTATTTTTTATTTTTTTGCGGAACTGGGGATTGAACTCAGGCCCTTGCGCTTGCCAGAGAAGCGCTTATTTCACTGAGCCATCTCCCCGGCCCCTGAAATTGTTACTTTTTAAAAACACGTAAAATCTTAATATAAAATACTGCTCATAATGAAAAACGATTCTACGGATTCTATTTCACTCTTAAAAATTGTCTTTACTAGTTCAGACTAATAGGAGTTTGTTTAATCTCTTGTTTTGATAGGTCAATTACAGTAAAGTCACACTATAAGAATGTATTTAATAACCACAGTTGGTAAGATAGGGGAGGACATTCAGTAATAATGGGGACAGTATTCCCAAAGTGAGGCCAAATAAATAACCCTGGAAGGCTAGAGTATAAAGATCTGTTTTACTAGACAGAGACATTAAATACTGCCTCATGTCATGCCAGGTGAATGACCATAAATAATTAGATCATAACTTTCCTCAAGCTTCCTCAAAGTCTGCTTGCTTGGCAGGCTAGTAAAGGGTAGAGTTTTGTTGCATGCCCATCCTGTTTTGTTGTTTTTCTAAACACAAAGTCTAAATTGCTCAGACTGGGCTCACAGTTGCAATCCCATATCAACCTCCCCAAGTGCTAAGATTACAAGCAAGCATCACCACACCCAGTTCAGCTCAGATTTGGCTAGATATGCCTTGATGCTGGCAGGAAGTTGCTTTGGAATGTATTTTCATTCCATCAAACACAAACACCTAAATTGGCCAGAAACAATAGCTGAGGCTGGGGAAATAGCCCGGCAGTCTGAGCGCCTGCCTGGCAAGTGCAAGGACCTGGGTTCAATCCCTGGTACCTTATGCCCTTGCAGGCCCCAGAACCCTGGGTACACTGTGCTGGTCACTGAAACCAGGTGTTGTGGCACATGCCTATAATCTCAGCACTAGGGAGCCTGACACAGGAGGATCACTATGAGTCTGAGCTGCATAGTGAGACCCTGTACCAAATAAATAAATTTTTTAAATGAAAAAAACCAAAACAATACTTGAGCACTCTGAGCTGAAAGGAGAGGCTGTGAAAACACACAGAGCTGGACAAAGCACTGTAAATGAAGAGGAGCATTTGGTAAACAGTACTGGGGATGTCCACTACACTGATGACCTGCGAATTGGGTGCTAAGAACAAAATCATGGTAAACAGTCTTTCTTTTTTTTGTCTTCCCCTAGTAATACTAGAGATTTGAATGCAGGGCTTTGACACTGACCTGAATTCTTGGCCCTATTATTATTATTATTATCTCTTTTTTTTTTGTTTAAGAGTCTCACCAGGTTGTATAGGCTGGGCTTGAACTCATGATCCTCCTAAAAGGTTGGATTACAGGCATGTGCCATCATGTCCAGCAAAAGGTAGTCAAAGGACTTACAGTGATCCACGTCAGACACACCTCTTGGGGACCAGATAATATTTATCAGTCAGATTCCAATTTCTCTCTCCTTAGTAAGGCTCGATACACACTAACAGATGTTCATTTTGTGGTCTTTCCCTCTACAGCGGATCACATTGCTTATAGTAACAAGCTTCTCGGAGCTTGTTGGGCTTTGGAATGCTTACCTGCAACCTGACTGCACATGAAGTTTTCCTAATTTTTGTAGTGTTTGTGTCCGTCTTCTGAAATGCTAAAATTCTACAGTTAAAGATAATAGCTAGGGGCTGGTGAGATGGCTCAGTGGTCTAAAGCACCTACTTAGAACAAGCTTAGCAAAGCACATGGACCGCGGTTCAATCCCCCAGCACCACATGCCAGCCAGCCCCGCCCCCAGGCGGGCTGAGCTGGCCACACACACACACACACATAAATAAAATTAAAAAAAAAAAAAAAAGATAATAGCTAGTGTAATCCATAAGGCAGTGTGAAAACTGAACCCTTAAAGCAGGTCTTCAGCATTGTAATTTGATTCTTTTCACTGTATAATCTAGAGTAGTCAATATGAAATAGGAGTATTATACCACATTGATTTTCTGGATTTTTTTCTCATGGGGTAAGAGCTGGGTCAGTGTGGAAGAAGCCCATGTGCTGCCATTCAGTACTGAGCACCTGTCTAGCAATTATATTTACCTGAAGTACACTCACCTTACTTGTCAGGTAGTGGCATTCAGTTCCCAATTATAACACAGTCCCACCAGCTGAACCTCGGCAGTGCTGTATGACTGTCCCACAGGATAGCCTGTAGCACTGATGGTCCAAATGGATCTAATCACTTTTACTGGTCTTTTTACTAATGAAATATCAATAGAGCCACTTGCATCACACCAGTAAAAAGCTTTCACCTGTCTAATAGAGACAAGCCTCACTGTTCTCTCTCCACCATCACTGTACTCTCTCTTCCAGAAGTAAACCCCTCCCAATAAAGCTTCTCTTGCCTGAGCTAAACTTCCTGGCTCAGTTCCACTTCTACTTCCCCAGGGACAGAAGATTGCTATCTAGTCAGATGTGTGGAATTAGAGAAGAGTGGAGGTATAACAGCCTGTGACCTGAGGTCTACATCTATTCCAATGACTCTCACAAAATTTAAAAGTTTTGAGGCAAAACTGAAATTAATCACATATTTTCAAAATACTACAGGTAACTGTATGTGCTGACACGTACTACGTACAAGTGTTAGACCATTAGTACATAAATATATGCTTCACAAGTTTAGTTTACTTATGCCCCTTTTTCTCTCATTCCTTTTTCTTTTTCACTCTAATTTTTATCATTATAGTTTACAGTTACTAAAATTTTATATGAATACTTTTCACTCAGTGCAATTGATCCAAGTTACTGTACAGTACATATTTACTGCTAAGCAGCATCCACTTGTTTGAATATACCACAATTTGTCACCTGCTGATGGATACTTGGATTGTTTCCATTTCCCAACCATGACAAATAAAGCAGGTACGCTGGTTAGGCAGAGCGCAGCGGCCGGGCTCACTAAGATGGCTGAGTGTGGTGGCGTGCGCCTATAATCCCAGCACTTGGGAGGCTGAAAACAGGAGAATCACTGAGTCTTATCTACTTAGTGAGACCCTGTAGACCCCGTACTAAATACAAAAAAAAAAAAAAAAAAAAAAGAGTGCAAATGCAGGTTGAGCATCCCTCTTCTGAAATGTTAAAAAATTAACTTTCTGAATGCAAATGATATTAAAGAAATTGTGGATTTTGGATTCTCTGATTAGGTATGCTCAACTAATAACATCAATATAAACAGTCCAAAAGAATCTTTTGCTTATTTTCCCACTGAGACACAATCACTGGGTTGTTTAACTATTAAATTCAAGCAATTTCTTTACATATTATAAATTCAAGACCTTTGTTATAGCTGCTGTGCACACAGACGTTTCCATAGTATGGTTTTTCATTTTTGGAATACAGTATTTAGAGAAGCAAAAGATTTACATATTATTAAGGCAAACTTATTTTTTAAGTTCATGTTTCTTATATTTCATTACAGAAATATTTGACAAACATAAGGTACCTGCTATTGTAGTTTTAAGTCAGTGATCCCTGCTAAGTAAATTTTTATATATGGTGTGAGGAAAAGGTAGATTCATTTGTATGCCTATGGTTATTTAATTTTTTTAGCACCATTTTGGAAAAAATTATTTTTTAATAGGGCTTACACTAGCATGTCTGTAGAAAATTGGACACTGTCTACGTGTCCATGTATGCAAGCTATTACCAGTTCCTCTTATTTTATTCCATTGTCTATCCCTATGACAGTTCTAGGATGTGTTTGTTATTACAGCTTTAAGTAAGTCTTAGGAGCTGGGCTTTGTGGCACATACCTATAATCCCAGCACTTGGGAGGCTGAGGCAGGGGGATTGCCTCAACTTAGAGGCTGGCTTGAAATACACAGTAAGACCCTGACTCAAAAAAGAAAAAAGGGGCTGGTCAGATGGCTCAGTGGTCTAAAGCACCTACTTAGAACAAGCTTAGCAAAGCACATGGACCGTGGTTCAATCCCCCAGCACCACATGCCAGCCAGCCCTGCCCCCAGGCGGGCTGAGCTGGCCACACACACACACAAATAAATAAATAAAATAAATAAATTTTTTTTTTTAAAAAGAAAAAAACCCAAACAACCAACCAATCAAACAAAAATCCTCTCAATGCCAGGAAGTGGCAATGAATCAAAGTTTATAGTCAGCCACATGAACACAATGGTAGACTGCAGCACACTGTGTCAACAACATTCTCTAGATACAGGTGTTCAATAAATGAGACACTCAAAATTCCATTTTAAAAATTTTCATATTGAATAGACTGTGTTAGATGATTCTGTTCAACTTCAGGTTAACATAATGTTTTGAGCACATTCAAAATAGGCTGTGCTATGCTGTCATTTGGTAGGTTGGGTAAAGAAAGCACATTTTAAACATAGGAAGGACTCCCTAGGACATACCCTCATCAATAGTCAAGAAGCACCTGGACATCTCTCCATTTATTTAGATCTGTAGTCCCTCTTAGTAATGCTGTATTTTATAGTTTTAGGTGTATGAGTCTTGCTTATCTTTTGACACCGTTTCCCTCATTTAAAGTTTTTTGATGACACTGTAAATGACAACTTTTTAAAGTGTCAAATTACTGTTGTTCACTGCTAGTATATAGAAATACAACGAATTTTGTGTATTGACCTGGTATTCCAAAATAATGCATAAGGAGACAAAAGGCTTCAAAACTGTGGCATATCCAAACAGTGGCATACGAGGCAGTGAAATGTAACAAATCAATGACACAGCCAACATTATGAATCGCAACATATGTCTAGTGAAAAAGGACAAACAAAAATGAGTATGTAGCACACAATTCTAAAATGCAGGGGCTGTGGATTTGGTTCTGTGGTAGAATGCTTGCTTGCCTAGCATGCTGGAAGTCCTGGGTTGGGTCCTTGGCATCAAAAACAAATAATAATAAACCTCCCCTAAAAACCAATTCAATGAAAAAAAAAATACAGTAAAAAACCAAAAACAAGCCAACTGCACATACAACCTTTTGGGGCAGGCGAGATAGCCCGGCAGACTAAGCACCTGCTTCGGCAAGCACAGGCACCAGTGTTCAATCCCTAGCACCATAAGCTGTGCCAGCCCTGCCCCTGGGCTTGCTGAGTCAGCCACTGAGACCAGGTGTGGTGGTGCATACCTGTAATCCCAGCGCTGGGGAGGCTGAAAACAGGAGGATCACAGAGTCCAAGCTGCACACTATATCAAATACATTTTTTTTTCCATATTTTAGGGAAGGGTCTACAGGGTGTTCAGGGTCTCACTACTAGATCGGACTTGTAGTGATCCACCTGTTAATAGCCTTCCAAGTGCTGGGATTACAGGTACACATCACCACGTCCAGTCTCAGTGTGCCCTGGGTGTGGGGCCAGAATGGCAGGCCAGAGGATTGAATCCCCGGCCCCTGCACCTGCTTGCAGGTGCTTTAATCTGCTGAGCTACTGTACCAAATACACTTAAAAATATATAAATAAAACAAACTAATCCACTGTGACCTGCTGGTGGTTGCTTAGGAAAAAGGAGAGGATTCACTATTTTGACTGTAGTGATGGTTTCAAAAGTTACACATATGTGAAAAACTTAGCAAATTTTAATATATATATACACTGCAAGAAAGCCATTTTAAAAATAGGTTTTGGGCCAGGGATGCAGTTCAGTGGCACAGCACCTGCCTGGAAAGCTCAAGGTCCTGAGTTTGATTCCCAGTTTCCCAATATATATATATATATAATTTTTTATTTTTTTAAAAAGTAAGGTTTCATTCAAAGGAAGTCTTCCTGCTCAAGGTCAATATATAACCTGGAACAAAAAGAAGCTAACTGGGTTGGAGTATGTGGAGCTATCTCCCCTTATTCTCAGTACCCTTGAAACAGACCTTTAAAGTGTAGTTTTAAGTGTGTAGTTTTAAGACTTTAAAGTGCAGTTCAAAGTGTGTAGAACAGCAGACAAAAATTGTAGAAGTAAATAGGACCAAGAGTTGGAGGGAAGAGACTGGGCCTGGTGGTACGGCCTGTAATCCTAGCGTGTGGAGGCTGAAAACAGGAGGATCACTAAGAGTCCAATCTGTGTACTGAGACTTTGTAGAACCTGGACTTAAAAAAAGCGGGGAGGGGAGATGGCTCAGTAGAATAAGTGCTTCCCTGCCAAGCGCAAGGGCCTGAGTTCAATCCCCGGTTCCGCCAAAAAAAGAAAGACCATTTTCTGAGTCTGATCTTATTTTGTAGAGGGGAACCTGGGACCAGGTCCTACAACTTGAGTTTTCTAGCTTCCTATCCAGTTATCTCTCCACTGTAAGCCCTTTCTCTTTAAGATGCCCAGTGAGGCTAGGTGTGGTAATACATGCCTGTAATTCCAGAACTCAGGAGGCAGAAGGAAGAGAATCACTGTGAGTTCAAGACCAGCCTGTGCTACAAAGTGAGCTCAAGGCCAGCCTGAGGTGGATAGCAAGGCCCTGTCTTAAAAAAAAAAAAAAAAGCCAAATGAATCTGTTTGCCTACATCTTTCCCAATAATAGTTTCTAAATCTTAAAGCGGTGCTTAAGGAATAATCCTTTAACAGGAAAGGATTATTGATCCTGTTGATAAAGGGGAGGTTTTAGGAAGCAAGGACCCAGCTCCACATTACTGGTCCTCTTTCTCTGTTAAATAGCCTGGCTTTATATGATCAATATGAAAGAATCTGCTCACAAAGTTTAAAAACCACTACTCAAGCTACCACATCCTTGATATAACATCCTAAAGATAAACTTTCCTATGTAAACTATTCACTTTTAATGTTCTACCCTTAAAATACTTCCATTTCTTCCCACTCCCCATCTAGACATGGAGACGCTTATGAGGAGAACCTGAATGACCCAGAGCTTCTGTGTTTTGATATGAATTTGTGTTTGTTGATTTGCCTGTCTTGGAGACAAGTAACTCTGATAATTAAACTTTGTTTCTTACCTGTAGCCGGGGCAGAATGATATCACAGACTCTCTCACTGTGCAGCAGTTCATCAATAAACTCATCTACATGCATCAGTTCAAACTCTGAAAGAAAAAGTCATTAGGTCAGGCAACTAAGAAGTAATATGTAGATAAAGTAAACCCAATGAGCAAGGCAGACCACACAAAAGCAACCACAAACAGTCCTAGACTATGTACAGATGACCTTGAATAAATCATGCAACTCAAGGTACTTTTAATAATTTATAAATAAAATTTTGTATCAATTCACATTAACATCATATAGCTGATGTTGCTGAATACAGAGTATACAACA